TTAGTACTTTTTTTAGTTAATAGCATGTTCTCGAGTTAATATCTCGAGATCATTCAATTATACTTTATCTAGTTAAATTTAGGGAAAAAGATCTGAAATATATCTGAACTTTGACCGAAATTGCAGTAACGATACCAAACTTTGAAAAGGACCTTTTACCCCCTACACTATTTAATAGTGTATTTTAAAGGTATATATATGCCCACGTGGACATCATAAATATTGCATAATTATAAATAATAACGCGTCCACGTGGGCACATATATACCTTTTAAATACACTATTAAATAGTGTAGGGGTAAAAGGTCCTCCATAAAGTTTGCTATCGTAACAACAATTTTGGTCAAAGTTGAAGTATTTTCCAGACTCTTTTCCCTTAGATTTATTAAATTTTATTTTATATTAATAAAATCACTCAACTTTGAGTTTATAATATTTCAAAATCATTTATCTAAATTTTTATTATTAAAAAAATATAATACTTTTTTTAAAATTAAAATTTTGGATATTAAAAAAAATATAATATAATATGACTATATCATATAAATATGAATTCCATAAATAAAGAAATATGACTTACCTATTTTCAATTATAGAAGATAAAACAAAAAATATTTTTTAAAAAAATAAAATTGAGTGGTGTTGGCGGTTGTTGGTTGAAAAAGTCACGAGCTGAGTATATATTACTGTCTAAGACAGTTAAATATTACATGATGCAATAAATATTTGTAGTATTGTTATTTTCAGTTATGGAAGATTAAGATATGATGCAATAAATAAGTGTACTATGCTAATTTTATACCTGACATAATACTTATCTAGATATACAAAATGTTCATTAACAATAAAATGAAAAATTAAAGTTAAATCATTTCTAAATTTAACCTTCGTTAACACTTACAAAGGTCTAAGCCAATAATTAAAAAAACGACATGATGAATGAGTCTTTTTTGCAGAAAAATATTGACAAACCAAATCCCAATAAGTTTGAGGTAAATTATTATTAATTATTTAATTATTTGATGATCAAAGTTGATTTTTGATCATTCTTCTAAATTGATTTTAAAATAAAATTTCATGCCATATAATTAGGCTTTAGCCTCCAACAAAAAGGAAAATTCAAATCGATAGGCAAACACCTCGAAGAGCTTAATGGCAAAGACAAAACATAATTGTGCATATTATATATTATAATTCTCAACTGATTAAAATTTAATCCTATTTTTTATTATTCTTATAAGTATTAATCAAGTGACATTTATTGCGCTATGAATCATGAAAGTGATTTATGGTCCCATCTTTATTAAATAGGTCCAAACATAGGTGAGTCAACAAAGCCAAAAAAGGAAAAAAACAAACTTGTCATAGAGGTTCATAAGTTGATTCAGGAAACTCAGTAATTTTGTGTAAATTTTATATTTATATAAAAAATATTTATTGAAAAAACCCAATAATAAAGGAATTACTTAATCCAACAATCAAAAACATCAAAGAGTTTGAGATACAAATTTATAAAGAACGATTCAATTAATTAAGATACAAAATGAGAATTGTATTCATACAATTTTGCACTTCTTAATAAATATCATTTGTTTTATTGTTCTAAATGAATATTCAATTTTAGATGAAAATTTTGTTATTCTTAACGCTTAGTATCATAAATTCCTATATAACTTAAGTGACACAATACAAACTTTATGAAAAAATCCACTTAAATTTAGCTAGGCTTTTATATGAAGATTTGATTCTTTTTTAAATTATTGAAAATCCACTACTTTTACTTTTTAAATCTAATCATTACTTATAACTAGTTATACATATAGTAGACCACGACTTGTGAAAAGTCCAATCTATATAAATTTTAACGGTACTATAACAATGTTTGAAAAAAATAAAAATTATAAACTAGCTAGTGGTGTTGTAGTCAATGTCAGTGTCTTTGGTGCCTACACATGCACCAAAAAATTTAAGATAAGATTTTTCATAGGTGGAAAAAGAGTATTTGGATAAAATGATTGAAACTTGATTCCTACATTCCAAACATAAAAAGTGACATGGATGTCAGAATTAATGACAGGCAAAAACTTATCTAAACTTCTTTTATTTTTCTTTTAGTAAAATATATGTATCAGAAGTTGAGACTTAGTAAATATGAAAAGTTTGGAGCGTTATTATAATATACATGTATTGCTTTCGTATTGTTCAGAGATTTATGCCAACGTAATTTAGTGAAGACTACTATTTATAGGTAACAAAGGTTATACATCAACTTTTCTCGAACTCTAAAATACTATGTTTATTAGTCACATTTCGGATAGAAATGTCATTAGTTATGTCAACTTAATTAATATTTGTATATCGCTCATTTGTGATTTCAAAAACTAATTGAGATTAATCTTTATCGGCCATTCCTCCAAATCAATTTCCTCTACAGTCCTTTATATCATTGTCACAAGTGCATCTTTTAGTTTTTCATATATATAAGTTATTTTTTACCCAATATAGTGTGTTTTATGACCTATAACTTTAGTTAATGTTGGTTTATAAAAGGATTATAAATGATTTTTTGTCATTTGATGTTCCTCTTTATTAAAAGGGCATATTTAACGGTTGAATTAGAGGGTGCTTGGATTGGCTTAAAAGCTGATCAAACCTATTTTTAAGTTGCCTATTCCATCATTTTTTAATGGAAGTGCAAAGTAAAAATGTGACATATAAAATGGGATGGAGGGAGTAATATTTTGCGCCGAGGAGATTCGGATGAACCCCCTAAGTATATGCTGCCTCCGCCCCTGATCGGAGTTAGCTTAGAAGTGGGAATGACAAACGGTTTGGGGTAGTGCGATTGCGGAGTAAATTTACAAAGACTTAAACATGTACCATCTCGTTCTGCATAGACTCGTTCCGTATAAATTCACTTACATAATTTATTTTTTAAAATAATAATATTTGAACTTGATACTAAAATAAAGTTCATAAATATGTTTTCATTTTCTCACTAAATTTTATTAATTTAATGATTTTTTTGAAATTCTATCGTTGAGAGGTCAACTATGATGCATATAAGGGGTTGTATTAAAATTACGATTGTATTAGTTTTATTTTATGTTTAATAACTTCGAACAATAACAATGACCATACCAAATGATTAAATTTTTTGTCGGAAAACTAAACAAAATCAAATTCATAAAACTCAATACTTCAATATTCTTTTTCAAAATTCTTTTTAATTAGAAAGCAACAGGTTCCATTAATATAGCAAAAGACCAAAAAAATAAATTAAACTCATATAAATCCTTATAGATCAACAACCTGCACTATATTAGGTTTAATTTTTTTTAAAATAGTTCTATTCCGTATAATTTTAAATTCACCCCATCCTGCACCCGTCTCGTTATGTTGCCATCTCTCAAAAGGCATTCCTATGGTCCTACTAAACAAAAATGGGAATTAGCAACAAAAGTTAAATAACAAAAATAATCGTTAATTTTCAATTTTTAAGATAATATTTGTGATATGTTATAAAAAAAAATTATTCGTTACAAACAATTTAACTGAAGGCATGGAATAAAAGTAAATTATCATTTTTCTTTAGCAAATTTCATGTTTTCTTCTACTAATTAAATTGTCTTTTCAAGAATATTTTAGAGCTAGCAGTAGCTAAGGAGAAGACAAAAAAAAGAGAGAATGATTTACAGCCGCACAATTCACAAAAGCTGACAAAACAGTAGTAATATTTTTTTGGTTTCTCTTTTTTGTTCAAAATACATTGAATTCTTGTCTTTTACTTTATAAATATATAAATAAACATTAAAAAAAATCAAATAAAGTTTCATTCGAGCAACGCAAGCAAACCTAACATTGTAGTCTCCGTCAACAATGGAATTAGAAATTTTATCAAAGATATTTAAATTTTTAATATATATCTCAAAAAAGTTAGTTCAAATTAGTATATATAATATTAGGACTATTATATACTTATAATACAAAAATATTCAAATAACTGTCCTTATGAATAGACTCTTGCACAATTATTTTATAAGTGAAGTCTGGAGAGTTACCAAACACCACTAGTAACAAAATGAAGCAACAAATTATGCCTCTGAAAAATGTCTCCTACTTGAAAAAGAAGATGAAGTACTTATATTCAATGTTCTATAATAAGAAGATAAAATTCACTATTCCAATAAGAACGAGATCTAATAAATTATTCAAGCATTTTACACTAACTTGAATCAGATGAAAGTCTACGAAGGTGATTGAATTAGTGCAACACATAATATCTCGTAAAGAAGATTAGAGATTGATCCTTTTTATTAAAGCCTTTTCAATAGAGATTATCGATTATCGTCTTAACTAACTTAATACGATTTGCATTTCTTAAATATGTTAGTGAGTTTAGCCATTGCAATTGAATGTAAATTTTTTTCAAGGGAGGACCTCTAATATGAGGTCAAATGATACACAACTCAGACAGAAAAAGCTGAAAAACAACTATAATGGAAGAGCTTTATTTCTTCTATACACTTTAAAAAGATATATCGAGTTTTCAGACTCTATATTGAGTAAGGGTTTTAAGCCTTTTCAAAGTGATAAAATATATGTTCTTTACATCTCTTGCGTGATTTCTGAGTTATTACATACGAATATTTTACTCCGTGCACACTCAAAAACTAACAAATCATTGATTTTTATTTATTTTGAAAAAAAAACTAGATGAATAAAAAATTAAACTCATGTAATATCTTTTTTGTTTGGTGTCGTTTAATTAATTAATGGCACAGAAATCAATGCCTTTAATTTACGTGTCTGTACTTTCTTCAATAAAATAATTCTCCAGCTTCTACAATAGCAAAAAAAATAATTTTAAAAAAAAACTGTAAGAGAATCTATTCGTTATAAAGTTCAGTAGCAGAACAGACATATTTATCTTTTTCTACAAAGATCTGTCAGTAATTAATATTCCCTTTTATTACAATTAATAATTAATAAAGAGAGAAAAAGGAATAAAATGTATAGCATTGCAATTTAAATTTCCCTTTTTTTCTTCAGATATATTTCTATAGAATCATATCCTCTATATCTATTTCAGACAAATGTAAGTGGCCAACAATTCCTCTAATTCATGTATTAATTAGAGAATTAGAAGAATAATTGAAAAATAAAAAGAAAAAGAAAAAATGTTACCTTCTTGTGTTGGCCATGATTGACTTCTCATGAAAAATAATATTAGTAGCTAGTACACATTTTGCCTAATACTTCATCTTTCAATAAATTTTGCGTACGTCACTGAATATACAATCATCTCTTCTTGCCATTAAAAACTCGTAAAACACCATCTGAATCTCCAGCTACGAGCGTGCATTGATTTTCGTCCTTTTGTTGCCAACATACGCTACTAACGAACCCATGGTCATGCCCGGTTAGACCTATGGGTTCGCGTCCATAGACCCATATTGGCTCACCCCATCTCTTATCGTAGACAAAAACTTGATTACTTTCCGACCCACAACAAATTAATCCGCCCGGTTTCCATACTGATAACCCGACAAACCTCCTACTATTATTATGCCCCTTGTAGGTGCGGAGGACCTTTTGGTCCTCCGCATTCCACATTTTTAAACATCCATCTATGCTCGAAGAAATAATCGTACGTTCATCAATAAATCGAATGTAAGTAACTGCTTTCTGATGTCCGTCCAGGATAAAGAGTGGGTCAACCATTTTCCTCATATCGTACGCGTAGACCCTCCGGTCAGCGCATCCAACGGCTACGATTGGACCTTTGAACGGATTAAATTCCACGCAACACACGGGTGTACTATACTCTTTGGTAGGTTGTACCATAGCTAAACACTTCCCATTGTCTCCGCACCGCGGGTCCCACATTTGCATGGTTCCGTCATCGGATCCGGATGCACCCAAAAACGGATCCGAATGACAATAGTCAATGCTCCAAACCCGTCTACCACCATGCTCATCACGCTCGAAAACAGGCATTTTTTTCTCTAGGTCATACTCCATAACCACTCCATCGTAATCACCCGACCCTAAAACCCGACTCCCTAAACCGGGTTTCCACTTTAAACTACCGAGTCTCGCCGGAGTACACATAAAAAAGTCACATGCATTACCATGATCTAAAGAGAGAGGCGCACCAGTACTGGTGCGCCTCTCGCCTTCTTCTCCTTCTTGTAAGAGAGACTTTACGGCGTAAATTCGAATTTTCCTAGCAATACCACCGGAAGCTAGGAAATTACCACAAGGGTCAAATTCTAACACACCAATTGTGTCACAACCAGATCCACTAAGACTATTACAAGATGAAATAATAGTAGAAAGATGAAAATCCCATTCACATCTTGCTTTTTCTTCTTCTTGATCTTGATGCAAAATTGATGAAATATCTGTCATTTCCCATTCATACTAGTTGTAGTAACCAAGAGAAGAATTGTTAGTGCAAAACATATATTTTTTTTGGAAATTAAACAAGAGTATAATTATACTATATAGTTTGATGGATTAATGAATTTGAGTAGTATAGTGTAAAGAAGGGGAAATTAAAAATTGTATAATGGCTTAGTTGTATATAAGTGGAGGAGACAAAAAAGGAATTGTGGTAGAATATATACCTCATATTTCTTTTGCAAGAACTAAATGCTTGTGGATGCTAATGCATATTGTGTTACGTGGAATAACCAAAGCCTTTTGTCTATTCATGAAAAGTACACTCTATTATGATTGAGGATTTAATAGATTTATGTACACTAAATTGGCAAGATTTTTTTTTCTAAAAAAATAAAAACAATATTAGTTGTATTTTAGCTTGTGTGATAGTACATAATTGTTTTGAAAATACGATTTCATCTATTTTTTATCAATCGAGGATCTATGAGAAATAATTTATCTATTCAATAAAATTAAAGGTAAGGACTAGGTATATCCTGATTCCACCCTCTCTAAACCCTACTCACTTGGTATATTGTCGTTGTTATTGTTATATATAGTTATTTTATTTGTTTTCATGCTATTAATAATTACATTTTTAGATAAATTATTAATAGGTATTTTTCAAGTGCTGACAAAAATAAATAAATAGAAATTAGCTTTCAGATTCATCGTTAATTTGCCTCTAAGCAGGGGGGTCTCCAGGAGGGGTTATCGGGTTCACGTAAACTCATGTTCATGTAGAATAGTGTTATAATTTTAAAAAAATACTTAAATATAAATGTGTGAATCCACACTCAAAGTTTATATAACACGATGATGATTAGGTGCATCTCTCTAAGTGAGAATAGAAATTTTAAATCTTATATCTATCTTGTCTTTTTCGTTCTAAAATTGGGTAACACCTCTCACATTTGTAAGAATTAATTTTGAACCTATATTTTTAAATGTTTAACGAGTTCAAGTGATAAAATTTAAAGGTCAAATCAATTAAATTTCTATATTAGATTCACTTTTCATAATAGTGCACTATCCTCTAAAAAATTTGAATACATATTTGCCTATAAGTAATACAGAATTAACAAAAAAAAATTTTTTATCATAAAATAGAATCAACGATTAATTTTTACTATTTAGCTACCGAATTTCTTTCGATCGCTCAATAATATAAGAGAGTTGTTAGTATATAGTTTTTTTTTAGATTTGCAAGTTGATGATTTGATTCATTGACATGAAAGTGGATAATGTCTCATGTATGTCTTTTTTTAATGTATATGTACCACTTGACATAAAATGTGGGGACAATTTCATGGGATTTTATGAATCGGCATCGCAAATATGGCCTTTTCTCATTACCAATAAATATAATGTGTGGATACAAATTTAATGTATGATTATATTGTCTCCACGTATGCTCTTGTATCAAATAGTTGCTGGAGATTTAAATACATAAGTACTCTTTATCAGCTATTTTCTCGGTTCAATTTACGTGATACAATTAAAAAAAATTAGAAACAATTTTTTAGATATTAATTGTAAATGTGGACATAGAAGCTGAAATTATGTATTTTAAAATAAAATGTGTATTTGAAAACTACGTAAATAGTATTATAAATATAATAATTAATAATTTTAAATAGTTAAAAGACATTAAAAGAAATTTCATAAGTAAACTTGATTACTCTTGAAATTCAAACTCATATACTATATAAATTGAGACGAAAAAAATTATTATTTGAAGTGTAGACGTTGATCAATGATATTGAAGTCATATGTGAGGAGGGAGATTCAAATATCGAAAAGTTATGATATCATAAGTAAGGTTAAAATAATCGCATGATAATATATACATAAGATTATGAAAATTTTTTTAATATAAGAGAAATACAAGTTTAAATTATGTATTCTCTTGTTCATAGGAATGACAATGGAGCAGGACAGATATGGAGTGGAGCAACTTTAAAGCTATACAGGGCAGGTTAAAGTAATTTTTTTTAAAAATAATGCAGGGCACGGATTATGAATTTAAATTTGATTTTTGATTTTTTACTTATTATGTGAGCAGTGAGTAGTAGTAGTTAGATACACTAGATTAGAGTATAATAAGACTAAAGGCACATGATTTGATAGTATCAGTCATTAAACTAATATGAACTAATTATTGTGATTAAGCTAATCGATCCTGCATATCAGAAATCTAACAAATCAAGATGAAAGTCAATTTTATAAATTTGACTTTTGGATTATTTTTTAATTCACATAAACTCCGAATTTGTTTAGGAACGTTTCAAAAAAGTACTGATGTTATTTATGTTGTTTGAAGTAAAAAATAATAATTATTTCTTCAGTATGTTATTAACGTCTATTTTAGAGAGTGTGTAAGAATATTATTCTGTTTATCCCAATTTATATAGTAGTATACCAAGAGAGGGGGAGGGAGGGAGGGGGGGGGGGTCTCTCTGGAGGATACAACATAAATACATGTATGATTATCAAATATAGTTGTCTACTCAAATTTAAAATATAAAAATATAAAAAAAGGTGAAAATGCAAAATATGTATAGAGGGGGAGGGGATGGGCAAGAGAGAGAATGAGAAGAGAGGCGAGCGAGAGAGAAAAAGAAAGAGACAATCGAAATTGAGAAAATGAAACGAGAATTATTTTTTTATTTGTCTAATAACAGTTACAATGAAATATGAATAGTAAATATTCAAATTATAAATATTGAAGCTTAATTATACTAAAATAACAATACCTATAAATTTTAATGACTAAATTAAGAAAAATAACCAAATTGCTTTGCATGGGTCAGTCTAACAACCTAGCTATTTCATGTCAGGTCGATCTCATTATTTATTAACTTGTATGTACATCCATTAATATGTATCATGATTAAAATTTCTTTATTCTTGTTTAAAGATTCCAAATTTTTAAATTTAAATTTTAAAAAATAAAATTAAAAGAACTCTATTAAAAACGTTGCCCCGAAAAATAAATCATGTAGTATAGAAATTCTAATTTTTAATTTTAATGTAAACATCAAATATCAAGTAAAAATTCCAAAATAAAACCTATCTATATCTAGCCAATCATATATTGAAGTTTGTGTTTCTTTGCCAAAATACTAAAAAGGGGAAATGTGCGGCTTTTTGTGTGCCAACGAGAGTCATTTATTAAGTTTTGTATAAAGCATTAACACATATTAAGTGAACTTTTTTAATAGAAATATAAAATTTCAATGAAAGACACTGAATTCTGTTAAATTCACAATTTATTTCTTTAGTTCCGTTCTTAATCTTTATCACAACTCCTAATTATCAAGTTCATGTTATATATTCTCTTATTTACAATTTATATGACATGATCTGATTTGACATATTTAACTCTGATAATTTTAAAATATTTTAGACACATAAATTTTAAATATATATCATAATATAAAACATAATTTTCAAATAAATCGAAGCAAATAGAGTATATATTTTATCTTATCCCCATATTTACTCAAAACTAAAAAAAAATAATTAGATGGACCACTTTAGTTTTGCTCATGATTAGGTAATAATTCAAGAGATAACTGACTTGGTGGCTCCACCACCAAATTGAAAGATGAGCATTAAAGAAAGATACAATTTAGTAAAAATTGGGTGACAATTTAAAATTGCATGTACCAAAAACGTGATTTTTTGTTGGTAGGCATAAGAAAAAGAGGTGTATTTATTTTTATTTTTAAAAAAAATTCTCATTTCATGTTGGATATTCATACTGAAGCTTGACTAATTCATATTCTCATTAAATAAAATTTGTTTAGAAGTAACATTTTTTAATTAAAAAAATTTCATACTCAAACAAGTTCTCTAATTAAAAAAGAAATAACTTCATTTATGTACTTATTGTTGCAGATCATTTAATGGCGAGAAGTGTATTTTTCTCATGTGTACCAAACTCTTAAATAAGACCTAATTAATGTTGAGGGGTCGTTTGTTATAAAGATTAATAATGCATTGATTAGTAGCGCATAAATTTATAGTGCAGAGATTAGTAATGTATGGATTATTTTTTGTCAAGTGTTTGGTTCATTGTTTCTCACCTCATCTTGTGTTTGGATTAAAATTTTATAAAAAACATCTTTCCAATTATACCCTTAAATTATTATGAAATTTTTTATTTCATGTAATTGAGTCAAGATAGATAATTATCAAACAATATTATTTTTTAATGGTCTTCTAACTAGGTAGGAGAAGAATAATTTTATTGTCATATTTGTTATTTTTTCACTTGAATTATTTGAGGGTAAATAATTGACATCTTAATAAATTGTTCACTCACAAAACTTCAATTTTCAATTTTAAATGGGATAGACCATCCACTTTTAAAATCGAAAAGACGGTAAACAATAGTAAAATTGAATAAGCCATCTACATTTTTACATAAAATTTGCAAGTTGTAGTTTTAATACGTATGCAATTTTATAAATAGTTCAAAATACAAATAATAGAAATTTAATGGTGGATGTTTCACTTGATCTATTCCTAACGTAATATATCTATTTATTATATTAATTAATTATCATTCTAACGTATTTGTCAAATGCTGTAAAAGGATGGTCTGAATATCCTATAAAAGGGCAGTCTTTCACCCTTGTGAAATACACTTGAAGAGAATAAATAAATCCTCCCAACTTTATACTTTCCATCACAATTTGTCTTCCTTACTTGTTTAGTATTATTATATTTTGCTCTTATTTTACAACAAAACCACATATATATCAACTAATAATACATTTAATTAAGATCACAAACGTCATGTGGTGATATATTTTCCTTTTAAATTAGTAAATGTTAAACAACTCACATTTCAAATATTGTATTGATTTACCTTGGATTTATTTAGCAACAAACAACTCTCTCTCTAAATAATAAAATTTGAAAGCTAATTTATTAGATAAATTTATTAGTACAAATATAAAACATAAAATCAAGAAAATAAACAAAATGATTAAAATGATTTGA